CCGGGACGGAGAAGAAGAGATGTTTTCACCGAGGAAGGAGCACAGGGAGGGCGGCTGTCCCACCGCCGGAGCCCGCCCTGTGAGGGAGCCGGAGCCCGCCGCCGCCCCCCCTCACCTGGCTCCGCCGCCGCGCTCGCGCTGCTCCGCGCGCCGCGACCGTTACAGCCGCGGGCGGAGGGAAAGGGGGAGGGAGTGGCAAAGGAAAAGGGGCAGGACCCTCCCCGCCCGCAACCTATCGGACGCGATTTCCCCGCCCTTACTCCTCGCTCATTGGTTTTTCGGAACGCTGATTGCCCCGCCCCGTAGCTTCGTGGAGGGGGGGACGGCTTCTGGCGGAGGAAAACTGACCGCAGCTGCCACCCGTAGGGCGGGGCCTGAAAAAGAGCGGCACCGGCCCTCTCCCCGCGCCTGCGCAGTGCAGCTGCCGCCGGCGAGACGCTGTGTGAGGGCGGGCGGCCCGGCCCGGCCTCACCGTTGTCCCCGCATTCCCTCACGGGCTCCACCGTCCTCTCAGGGCCCCAGGCTGAGGGGTAAGGCCGGGCGGCGGCCCCCCAGCTCGGCCTCCTCACTCCGCTGGGCCGGAGAGGTCAGGGCTGCCCCTGGGTGCTGGCGGTAGAGTGGCCATGGCGCTGGGCCCTTCCTTAGCCGCGGCCACTTCGGGGCTTCTCGCGTGTGGTGCGGGGTCACCTTCCTTCCCCGGGCAGGGCCCACCCCGGCTGGAGCAGCGGCACTGCTGATACTGAAAAGCCGGTCGAAGAAAATCTCTAAGACTCGTTTTGGAGTTTTAGAAAGCAGGCAATCTTTATTGCAGCGCTGGATGCACGGGGGATAGTTGCACCTAGCGTGCATGCCACAGCTTTAGCACAAACAGGTTATATAGAAAAACTAATTGCATAATAATCAGATTAGTATACATATACATAAAAATGATTGCAACTGATTATCATAGTGCAGCCTACATCCGATCATGTGCAATGAAGGATTCATTTGAGTCGAAGGGCTGCTTTTGCGACCACCAACCCATTTGAAGTTCTTGTTGGCTGTCCTTGAAGTCTTTATTCTTGTCCTTGTTCTTTGATCTTGAAGCTTAACACGGTTTCAATCGCATGTGGTCAGTTTCAACATTGTTCTCATCTAGCGTACAGTCATAAGAGCAAGGAACTGCAAAACTTATGAGTAACTACCTCTACTAATTACTTGGCTATACTTTTGTCTATTGTTTCAATCATAGTGTTAGTATAAGATTTATAATAATTATCTACCAAATCTCACTTTTACAGTCACCTAGCAGCAAACCAGTTTCCACGGCTGGTACAAAATATTAAAACCATCAAAATATTAGACATGCCATACAGAATGTATGGAAATATGCTATCACTGCCGGCAGCGAGGCCTCGTCGGCAGTGGGGACCTGCTTTCTGGTAAGGGGTCTGGCGCTGGCCCCCATGCCTGGGTGCTTCTGTTAGTGGCCATGGCTACCCCACAGTGGTGGGAGTTGCCCAGCTCCCCCCCTGCAACCTCTCCTTCAGGGATGTCCTCTGGGAGAGCTGCGTGGAGGAGCTTGCCCAGCTGGGTCCAGCCTGTCGTGCCCTCCCAGAGGATGTGGCCCATTTCTGGCCCGTGCAGGTGCTGAGAGTGGCCACTATGGGCTTGCTGCAGCTGGGACCCCTGGCGTACACCCTGGCCATGCTGGGACCACGATGATGGGTGTCCCCCCCCAGCATGGCTCAACCTGGTGGCCACCACCAGGCTCCTGCTGATGCTGGTGGGTGCTGTGTACCTGGGTGCTGGAGGAGTTAGCCAGCCCATAGACCCCCCCAGCAGACCACTTCCACCAGGGGACATGTCTCTCCCTGGGCTGGAGCTGCAGAGGTGCTGGCTGGCATCTGCCTGGCCACCAGCTTCTACAGGAAGAGGGGGTTCGTCAAGAAGCCGGACGCTACCCCTTAGGAGGTGGATTATTGAGGCGCTGGGACAGACTGATTCCTGCCATAAGCGTCACAGGAACAATGCTGCAAATTGTGGGGTGACAGCAGCTCCTCAGCCTCCCGCTGTGGCCATCCTGCACCCCTGGGCACCCCTCAGACCATTACTGGGTGGAAGAGTTGGGTCTGTTCCCCATCTTTACCTCTTTTCACTGGTAATTTTTCACTGGAAAGCAAGCTGATGTCAACACTTTTTTTGCCCGTAACTTGATTGTGCTTTAATCCTTAGCAGCGTTTAGCCTCTGCAGCCAAATAAAGAGCATCCCATACCCAGCTGTAGTATGTCTGTGAGGGGCTGCGTGGCACAGGGAGGGGCAGGACCCGTCCCCCCTTTCCAGGCTGACCACGTCTCCTTCCCCCTCCTGCCTCACACTCTCCTCTTGCCCCTTGTGAGGTGCACAACCCCCCACCAGAGCACCCCAGCCCTCCCCAGGGCACCTTCCCCTCTTCATTGCCCTCCCTGGCCTCACAGCATCATTGGAGCCCCATCCGTGTCCCCCCTCCCCCATGGGTGGGTGCCATCACCCCCGAGCTGGACCAGCGCAACCCACAGGGAGAGGAGAGCAGAGCACAGAGGGATGCCACAAACCCTTGAGGATGGTGACACACGGCACGGGTAGGGGCTTGCTGTCACTGCAGGGACATTTCAGTGCCAAGAAAAAGCATGGCACAATCAGCCCTCGTCGACATAGTTTTATTTACAGCAGAAGAGACCCTGGCTGGGATGGCTGGTGGCACCGTGCCGGTGTGCACGGCAGGGGCATGTTCCTCCAGGAAAAGGACCCCGTTACCAACGAGCAGCCAAGGCAAAACATCCCCGAAAAAAGCAAGACTGTCGCTGCAATGTCCCGCCCCGGGGACATGTAGCAGAAGCCACTTCTCCTGTGGCAAATCCATGCTGGGGGCTGAGCCTTCAAAAATGTCATCAATCCCCCCGTGCATGCCCCCAGCACGGGCAAAGCACCCGCTTTGCTCCTGCAGCACCACGATTTTTATCGGCAATTCGTGCCAGAGAGGTCCTGGTGGGGTGTCAGGGTTCGGCTGCCTCTTTAGGGGTGCTGTGCTCAGCCCCGAGCCCCCCGTCGCCATCCTGGCCCTGCTGCCGTGCCCACCACTCCCGCAGCTCCTGGTACAGCTCTTGGTGCTCTTCCTTCCAGCGCGTGAACTTCTCCGAGGTGAGCGCAGCATCGCTGAGCAGCTGCTCCAGAGCCTGCAGCTCCACCAGCTTCGCCTGCCGAAAGGAAGGGCGTGTTTTTGGGGTGGCTGCCTGTGGGCAGGGGGCTTTGGGGGGGTCAGGGGGCTGCGGGGTCCCACCTTGAGCGTGCTCTGCAGGGCTCGCACCACGTGCACCTTCTCGTTGATGTGGGGGTTCTTGTTGCGTCGGATGAAGGACTTGCGGCACTGCTCCTGTGTCAGGAACCGCTGCCGCCCGATGAGGGACACCCCACCCTGCTTCAGGCACTGCATCAGGCACTCGAGATCCTCCCCGGCGGGGTCTGGGTGAAGAAAGAGGGCACCGTAGCAGGGCAGCAGCCCCGAAACCCCATGGGGCTGCCCCCGCGTGTGACCCTGCTCCAAGGGCATCCCGAGACATTACGTGGTTCGCACTCAAATACATCCCAACTTAGGTTACCCCCCCAGCACACACACACACACACACACACACATATATGCAAAAGGGTGGCCCTAACTTTGATTAAAGGGCACACACAAGGTGACAGAGTGAAAGATATCACACCCCCCCCCCCAGCACCTACCCGTGGGCGAGCAGGGCCGGGGGCTGCCCTGGGGGCTGCTGGCTGCGCTGCTGGGTTCGCCGCTGGCTGGGAAGAGCTGGGCTTTCTCCGGGGCATTTGAAGAAGAGGGCAACCTCTTCTTTGGCTGCAGGAGAGACGGGACGGGAGGTAGATGAGTATTCTCCACCCCTTCCCCGGTATGTCCCCTAGGGCCACTCACCGAGTCGCATGCCTGCCTGGGGGACTCATCATCGGGGTCCTCAGCTTCTGTCTCGCTGTAGCAGTCTGGAGGCCATGGGGGAAGACAGTGGGAGTGGAGGGAGTGGGAAGCCCCGGGCTGCCCCTCCCCACCTCTCCCCAGAGCTGAGCATCACCCCAGCCCTCTTCTCAGGGACCATTTCTCACATTTCCCCCAAATCACAGGCAAAGCTCCCAGTGGTCCCACACAGGAGCTGTAGCACCAGGCATGGCTGCCCCACTGGGACCCACGGCTCCCCACAGGGTCCCCATCTCCCATGGGAGAACCGACCCTGTCTCCCACCCCAGGAAGGGCCTGTTACCTTCCTCCCTGTCCGGGACCGACTGGTGGGCCAGCGTGTACTTTGTTTTGGCTGTTATTAGGTGACTGACCCACCTGGGGAAAGAAAGGACGGAGAGACAGACAGAAGGAGGGTCATGGCCAGCCCAGTGTGGTGGGACCAGCACCGGCTGTTGCCCGTTGGCACGTTACTCACATGCTCAAATCAGCCAGTGTTTCTGCGGCGAAGATGAAGGGCTTGTACCTCTGATGGGAGAGCTGGAACACACTGGAGGAGGACAAGCAGGCGGCTGCCTTTGCTAATGCAGTTAGCTGGCACCAGAGCCAGCCCCGAACCCCCATCCAGCCTCCCCCGCACCGCAGCCCCGCTGTCCCAAGCAAGCCCAGGGGTTTGGGCTTTTCCCTGCCTGTTGGAGATGCTGTGGTCCTCAGCCTTGTCCCCAGTAACACCAGTAGTGCAATGCCCATCTTGCTCAGAGCGTGGGCTCCCGTATTGCAAGATGGCCAGTCCTGCCAGCCCCGTGGGGACCCCACCAGCCCCATGGGGACATGCAGGTGGTACCCAGCAGGGCTCATCAGCATGCGCCCTTGGGACAGCATACCCCCTCCTTCCACCACCAGCCTGGAGGTCCATGGTGAGACAGAACCCACTCACTATTTCTTCTTCTGCTCCCTAGTGCTCTCCAGGTCATAGGTGGCCACGTTGATGAGTCCCGCAGCCTTCTCATCCTGCACAGGAGACAGCCGTGTCCACCACCTGCCCCGGCGCTGGGGATGGGAAAGCCCGGCTGCCCCAGGTGGGGGATGAGAACACCCACTGTCCCCACTCACGTTGGGGTGGTGGTACCAGTAGAGTGTGTGGCCCTTCAGCACAAACCAGCACCGCTTCCACTTCTGGGCCATGAAGCCCACGTGGTCCTTCTTCTTCAGGAGCCAGCCATCGCAGTCCACCCGGCCCAGGTCCCGGCACGAGACCCGCCGGCGGCTCAGCCTGGTCGCCACTCCTGCCGGCCGCAGCGAGGCGGGGGGGTGTCAAGAGCAGGGAAGGGGGAGCAGGGGGCAGAGCCCGAGAGAGCCCCCAGCCCCATTCACCCCAGACCTGGCAGGATCCCGCTCACCTTTTGGTCTGTGTCCTGTCTGGGGACTGCCCTGGATGGGGAGACAGAGATGAGCAGTTCGGGACAATTGAGCCCCCCCCGCCAGCAGCACCCCCAGCCCCTTAGGGACCCCCAACTCACACTCCCCGCAGCAGCGAGCTTGGAGAGGAACCCACCCCAGGCATTTCACCTCCCAGCTCAGGCGGGACATGAAGTCCTGCGTGTGCCCCATTGATGTCCCCCCAGCGTCCCCCCCTGAGGCTCAGTGCTCCTCTCCCACCAGCTCTCACCTCCCCAGGGAGCCGGCTGGACTCTGCACCCCCAGTCCCTGCCGTGGGGGCTGGCGTGGGGCTGAGCACTGTGGCACAAGGTCCGGTGGCAGCAAGGGTGCCCAGGGAGCACGGGGTGCCCGATGAGGTGTCACCCTCCCACGTCACCTCCTCCGCAGCACCTGTAAACAGCAAGCAGGGCTGCAACCTCCCATCCCGGGGGGGAGAAATCGCTCCGTCCCCAGATGTCCCCTCCACTCCCCTCCTACCGTGGCCGGGCAGCCCTGGCAGCTCCTCCACGGTCGCCCCGGGCAGCCTCAAGTCCCGCTCTTCCCCTCCGTCCTCTTCGTCAGTGATGAGGTCCGGTGCTGAGTCTGGCCCTGAGTCCAAGTCGGCAGCAGTGCTGGGGGAAAAAGGGATCCCTGAGCTGGAAATCTCTTTGACCGCCACGGGGGTCCTGCTATCAGGGTCCGGCCGGCCCCGCACTTGCTTGGGGCACCCGCAGTTCTCCGTGCTTGAGGAGGAGTGGGGCTGGAGGTGACGGGGTGGCAGTGGTTTGGCACTGGTCCCACCAGCCTCCGCACTCCCCAGCAGGGTCTCAGCCCAGCCCGACAGCTCCTGCCCAGCTCGCCCGTGCTGCCACGGGCTCCGCGCAGGCCTTTCCATTCCGGGAGAGAAGGGTCACGTCTAAATATAGTTTCAACCCCATTAAAACGTTACCAAGTGAATGGATTACAAACACAACTACTTTTTTTTTTTTTTGGTTCCTTAAGACTACTGGCAGCTTCCCGGGCTGCTTGCAGGCAGCCGCCACGCTGCCAGCACCTCTCCCCTAGAAAGAGCTGGGAAGGGGCCTTCAGTGCACCCAAAAACCTCCGTGCTGGCCAGGCTGGGGGTGTCGGGGTGTCAGGGGATGGGGCTCACCTGGAGGTCAGGGACACGGGGCTGCCCGGGCACTCGCCGCTCCTGGTGCCGGGGTGATCCGCGGCATCCAAAAATGCTCCCGGGAGCTGTGGATGGAGCGTCAGGGCCAGCCCGCATCCCACCACGGTCCCACAGAGCTTTAGGGACCACCAAGGTGATGGGAGATGACCAGCTCCAAGCATCCCTGTCTGGTTCCCAGCGCAGCACTGGGGCTGTACTGGGAGTACTGGGATCACTCACCTGCTGCCTGGGAGAGGTGGGTGAGCTGGGCAGGTCGAGGGGGATCTTCTTGAGCACCAGCGTCACCCCGCTCGCCTTCTCCAGCAGCTTCTTCGCCAGGTTGACGCGTGTCCAACCCACCTGCACACACCCCCTGGTGACCCATGGGACACGGCTCCGGCCCCACGCTGCCCCACAGCCACCCGGCCCCATGCACCCTCCCAGCCCCACGGCTCCCGCATCCCCCAAACCCTCCCTGGCCACAGGTCCCACATTCCCCAAATCCTCCTCTCCAGCGGCTCCCGCATCCCCCAAACACCCCCAGCAGTGGCTCCCGCGTCTCCCCCCACCTTTCCCAGCCACGGCTCCTGCATTCTGCGGATCACAGCTCCCGTGTCCCCCCAAATCCTCCTGCCTGCAGGTCCCCTGTCCCCCCCAAATCCTCCCACCCGCAGCCACCACGTTCCCCCCAATCCTCCCAGCCCTGCAGCTTCCCGTCCACGACTTCACTGCCAAAACCAGCACCACCCTCGAGCCCCCGTCCTCCCCGACTCACCACGACCTGCTCATTGACCTGCACGATCTCGTCTCCGGGCAGGATGTGGCCCCCGTGGACGGCCAAGACCTGGGGCAGAGGCAGGGTGGGAGTGGGGTGCCGAGCCCCGGGCATTCGCCCCCCCCACACCCCCTCCAGCTAATCCACACTCAGGAGCTCTCCCAGCTGGGGAGAATAGCGGGGGGGTTAACCATTAACCGGCAGCCTGACCTTGCACAGCACCAGCCGGAGCGGTTGATGGGATTGGGATATGGAGGAGGACTCCTACCACGGCCCAGGCTGTGCTCACTCGTGAGATGAGTTGCACGGTCTCAGCTGCAGGCAGCCACCCCAAGCTCTGGGTTATGGGGGATGGATTAGGGCCCTAAAAGAGGCTTGCGGGATCCGGCTGGATGGGATACAACTGGGGTGGGTGGTATTCCCCATGGCAGGCACTAAAAGGGGGTGACGGAGGGACAGGGTGGCACAGGGTGGGGGTGACCGTCTCACCTCCGAGGTGGCTGCGGACACGAAGTGCAGGCAGGAGCTGGTGGAAGTGATGTTGAAGCCCTGGGGGGG